CTCTCTCTCTCTCTCTCTCTCTCTCTCTCTCTCTCTCTCTCTCTGTCTCTCTCTCTGTCTCTCTCTCTCTCTCTCTCTGTGTGACCACGGCTGCCGAATTGCCCAATTTGAAAGAAGAAGAAGAAGAAACTTCAAAGAAGAAAAAGAACAACAAAAAGAAGAAGAAGATGAAAAGCAAAGAAGAAAAAGAAGAACAAAAAGAAGAAGAAGATGAAAGCAAAAAAAAATAACAGCAAGGAAGAAGGGGCTCGTTAGACACTCCTCGGGCGCGTAAATCCCCCGAGGAAATAATCATTAGACCTATCCTCGGGGACGATTCCCGAAAATGAAATGTGAAAACATTTCCTTGGGCTGTCCGCGGGGGGCTACAGGCAATCGCCGGCGATCCCCAAGGTACCTCACGAGGTCCCTTGGAGGGCGAGCATCCGCGATAGCGGCATCCTTCGACGACGACAATTTTTTGGAGGGTGGTCCAATGCAGTACCTACCGGCCAGTCCACGGACATGCCCGGTCGCCAACGTTCACCTTCAGTCTTCGATGGAATTCGCGGCAACGGTAACCAGTGGGGATGGCCGGCCCCTGCGAATGCTGAAAGGTGTTCGCAGTCCCTCGCGCTGGAGGGCGGCAAACGGAAAAGGGTTCAACAGTTGTCAATTTCAAATATTTTAGGCGGCAAGTGTTCCAGCCACCCACCGCAGTCTGCAATGTAACTCGGCAGAGGGCGTTTTTTTGTTGGATGCTGTTGCCTGCTGTTTGCTGCCGTCTGCTTTGGCGTGTGCTGGAGGCACGTGTAGTTGATGGCCGACGTCTTTCGAAGGGTGCCGCTGCTTGTCCTGGTCATCATTTTGCTTCTCCTTGTCGCCGTCTTCCACGTGTGCATCTTGGGTCGGGTGCCTGGTCCCACACGCAAGCGACGATCGGCGAAGAAGCACATCAGCGTGGACGGACGACAGGCGAACCACAGAACGTCGTTGGAACAACACGCTAACCACCGCCCCAGCCACGACAGTACTCGCGGTACAAGGCCGCACGACCCGTCAGCCTACGCGCACCCCCCACCGCACTTACAACCTCTACCTGACTCGTCAGATGGGGAGGCGGACGAAGGTGGGTCACGTACAGTCTTGCAGCCCGCTGGGTAGCGGGTCCACCCAGGAGTGGGCAGACAGCCAGTCGTACGGTCGGCGTGCTAGCACGTACAGGCTACAGTCGTACACCGAACTCCCGGAGGAAGGCCTCCATAGAGACGACATTTATGGCCGTGAATTTGTCATTCGGGCTAGGTAGTGGGCGCTCTACGACCGCCACATGGACAGTCCTCGTCAACCATCACCCTGACGACGACGCAAGGGCAGGTGACATTGGTCGGCCGATCTGCAAAGGGTGCGTCCGTCGGATTGGATAACAAGAGGGAGCGGCTGAGAGTGCAATTGTCGATGACATTAGTGGCACGCGCTGCCGTCGACCGTCCGCAGTGGATGCAATCCCCGTCTCCATTGTCGGGAGGTTGCGTTGGGGGGCGATGTGCGTCTGAATGCGGACCGACGGACAAAGACGTCACATGCGAGGGTGCCGAAGCAGATGGGAGGCGTGTGTGGAAGGAACAAAAGCAGGAGATGCGTCGATGGCAAGAGGAGTCGATAACCGAGGGGGTGCGGCGATTGCGCGTGGGGGAGCAGGACGAGGAGGCAGACGGGGCAGTCGGGGGAGGCGACGACTACAACGACGATAAACAAGGTGAGTGCGAAGCACAGGACGACGAGTCGGGGGATGTGTTTCCGTTGCGGACGGCGAGCATGGGCCGTCGGACCGGTAAGAGCATGGCTTCGGTGTCGACAGCCAGGCGTGGAAAGAAGGCGGTGGGTGGTGGTGGCGAGGCCGAAGGCGACGGGGAGGGGGAGGGTGGCCGGAACTTCTGGTCAGTGGAGCACATGGTCGCCCTCATCAGGGCGAAGCGGGACCAGATTGCGCAACTGCAGATGGCGGGCCACGCGTTCGCTCGGATGAAGGGGAGGGAATGAAAGTGGGCAGACATTCGCGAGAGGTTGTTGAAGGTCGGCGTGGACAGGCCGACATACAAATGCGGGAAGAAGTGGGATAATTTGATGCAGCAGTTCAAGAAGGTGCATTGCTTCCAGGTCAAGTCTTGGAAGGAGGACTTCTTCCAGCTGTCGACGAAGGAGAGGCTGGCGAGGGGGTTCAATTTCAACATGGATCGGGCCGTCTATGAAGAGATCAAGGGATCGACCGCAAGGAGTCATACAATACACCCGCAGAATGTCGCAAACACCGGACGAGCAAGAGGTGTGCAACTTCCATCCGGGTCTTCTGGTGGTCCTGAATCTGTCGGCGATGGGGATGCAGGTGGCGATGGCAACGACGAAGATGATAGCTCGACGAAGGGTTGTTCTCAGACCACGGGCAGCCCTAGCGGTGCCCGGAAAAGGAAGAACATGAGGCAACGGACATTCGAAGCCCTCACCGAGTGTATGGAGAAGCACGGGACGCTAATGGCATCGACCATGGAGAGCGCTAGCAAGAGGCAGTGCTCCATCCAAATTCGGCAATGCGAAGTTATGGAAGCGGAGCTGGAGGTGCAAAAGAAACACTACGTGGCATCGGATGAAGTGAGCAAGATGATGTGCCATGCGCTGATGGAGATAGTGAAGGCCATACGAGATCGGTAGACGCCGCGGTCAGGAAGAGAGTCAAGAGACTGCCCAGGCGAAGGCGTCGACGTTTGTCCCCTTTTCCAGGCGGCGTGCCAGGAATTCTGAGTGCCCCCTCCGTAGTTCGTCGTCTATGTTAGCTTTGTGCTCGGTTATGGGTTGAAAACGACCGAGATTCGCCCTTCGCCACACGCCTGTGTAGCTGGGTGGGCGTTTTGGATGGGTTGTGTGTTCCTTTCGTTCAGAGCACCGCCGAAGGCAAATGACGACCTTCTTTGTTTTAGGATTTTATTTTTTTTTGGTAAATTTCCCGACTTTCGTGGTGTTCCGTCGTCATGTGATGACAGTGAGACAATCTCACGTCCTGTATTGCTTAGCATTCAGTTTGAGACTACGATTTTAATGTGATGCGATGACGGTGAAACGATCTCACGTCGTGTATCGCTTAACTCATGTGATGCGATGGTGGTAAATTGTTTTTGGTAAATTTCCCGGCTTTCGTGGTCTCCGATCGCTTAACACTCAGTTTGAGAGTACGATTTTAATGACATCTTATGACTTGTTCTTGCTCATCCCTCTCTCTCTCTCTCTCTCTCTCTCTCTCTCTCTCTCTCTCTCTCTCTCTCTC